CTTGACCTGTTTATGGTTTGGGATTGGTCTACTTACCTAGCTGATTATGGACAGCCAGCTTCAAAGTACCTTCGGGTGAATCCAAACACAGCCCTTACTCTTTTGGAGAAGTGAGTATATTCTGAAAACATTTTGTATAGCCTTTAACAGATTTTGAGTCAATGACAAAATGAAGAACTAGAAATTTTTACGAAAAGAGATATATGTAGATGGAGCTTTTAAAAGCTCACACTATTTTAATGACTAAAAAATAAGCTTTTTTTCTTACCCTTCAGAATTGTAATTACATATGCAATTGCTTTTGTGTATGAATGTGAACAAAACACTTTTTCTTTTGTGTCCTGAATTGCAGGCTTAATAGGCCTTAGAAATGTTTATTGGGGACCGGGTTTGTGTGGCTAATGGTAGAGCCTTTACTAGCATGCTCCAGGCCCTGGGTTTAGGCCCAGCACCACCACCACCAAAAAAAAAAAAAAAAAAAACCTGCAGATATAAATGACAACTGAATTTATTAAAACCCAATTAGGTGCAGTGGTGTCACCTGTAGTCCTAGCTATTTGGCTGAGGTAGGAGAATTGCATAAGCCTATGAGTTTGAGACCATCCTAGGCAATATAGCAAGGCTATGTTAAAAAAAAAAAAAAAAAAAAAGAGAACAATAACAACAAAAAACTGTATGATTCAGGAAAGAACGTACTTGTAAAACATGCCCAGGAATTGGAATGTTTGCCACTAGGCTCTCTATATCATGATTTCTTTGAAAATAGAGAAATATGTAATTTGAAAAAAATAATATTGCTGGGTATGGTGGCATATACTTGTAATCCCAGCCACTAGGAAGGCTGAGGCAGAAGAATCTTAAGTTCAGTGTCAGCCTGGGAAATTTAGCAAGATACTTACTCAAAAAATAAAGAGTTAGGGATAACTTGGTGATAGAGTGCCCCTGGGTTCAATCCCTAATACTGCCCCCTGCCATACACACAAAAAGTGAGAGAGAAAAAAAATAATACTGTCAGAACTGAGGTAACAATTTACTGGCACATCTTTGTCCAGCTAAACACAAATTAAGGTGTTTTTTTCTTCTCATTATGTGGCAGTCTGTCTTGACTTAATCATATTTCACTTTACATATCACTACTAAAATCTTCAATTTTTAATTAAAAGTATATATTATTTTCCCACATTTCACAATATGTGTGATATATTTGACTTAAGGAACTTTTAAAATAAATGTAGAGGGGCTGGAGCTGGAGCTCAGTGGCAGAGTGCTTGCCTAAAGGCATGTGTGAGGCACTGGGTTCAATCCTTAGCACTGCACAAAAATAAACAAATAAAATGAAGTCATGGTGTCCATCTACAACTACAAAAAAATTTTTAAATAAAATAAATATAGATTTATAATGTTATGAAACACCACTGAGGCAAAAACATTGCTGTTTTAATTTTTCTAATGCATTTTTTTCCTTTTACCTTGTCTTGCTGTGAATGTAGTTTGCAGAATCCACATAGAGTATTTTAGCATACTTTTAATATTAGAAAATGGTATGATATTTAAACTTAGCATATTTTAGATTTACATTCTAATGCAAAAATACCACTTCATATAAAATGTAAAATAAAACCATTTATGTGTGTGTGTGTGTGTGTGTGTGTGTGTGTGTGTGTGTGTTTTCTCTATCTGTAACTACATTAGTACCTTTTTTCTTTGAAGAATATTTTTTAAGCATAGAATTAGTGTGAGGTAATTTGGAGCTTGCCAATATATTTTACTTGTGATAGCATAGCTTTTAATTTCCTCCTACTAACCTTATTCATTCACATTTGTTTCTAGGATGAAGGATACTAGCAAAAAGAACAATATATTTGCCCAATTCAGGAAGAATGATCGAGACAAACAGAAGTTGATAGAGACAGTCGTGAAACAGCTAAGAAATTTGGTGAATGGTATGTCCCAGCACACATAGATTTCACATTGTTTATACTCAGTGACACTAATCTGTGACTGAGCATTGATCTCTAACAAGCACAGGTCGTGATGTAATAATTTGTTTACAAAATTCAAAAATACAATAGAGAAAATACACTGATGAGGRCTTAAATAAGAAATAGTAATAACATTTGTATGGATTTTTAAAAATTGAATACTATTTTATATATGAAAAATGTGAAACTAATTTTTTCAGTTTTAAGGGGAAAAGGTAAAACTATAATATATAAATTGTCAAAAATTGTATATAAAACTGATTGCAAATACATTAGAAAAACATATGCCTCTACTTAAAAGTATTTTTTCTCCCCTTATTTAAACTTGTGATCTGTTTTTTTCTTCAGTGTATGGTTTTGGAATGCAATCATGTCTAATGTGGGAATATTTCACTATCATTTTATGACAGTCTTATTTTCATCTTGATGTGCTTTAAGTAGACTAAGCTTTTAATTCTGCTGATTCTGAGGGGAAAATACACATATCTTTAAAGCGTCCTGAAATCAAACGTAATAAAGAGTGTAAATTTTGTTCTACTTGGGTGCTTTAATTGAATCCTTTTGAATATGAAGAAAATATTTTGGATTTTCTAAAGATTTAGTGTTGTTTCTGTTCATCAGAGTTAATATTTCTATTTGCTTGTAGTTGATATCATTCTAGATTTGGTTTGGTTTGGTTTAAATTAAAAGATAGAACAGTTAACTGGGGCTAACCACTTCAGGTGCAGCTTGAACTAGGGTAGATATGTTCTTCCTACACATAGACATGACCACAGGGGTCAGATTACTTTCTTTAAATAGCAGATCTCAGTACTGTATCCCCACTGTGGAAGCAGACCAAATCAACTAAACTCTAAAAAACATAAAACAACTGTACATTTTCCTTTGTGTAAAGTCACTGATATCCAAATAGTAATGTAAATCCAATCCTTATTTTTCTCTTGGTTGTATTTATGCTGAATACTTTCTTTGCATTTTTGGTATTTATACCTGTAAGAAACTAAACCTGACTGTAAAATMAGTGTCAAGAACTATATTTACATCTTGATTTTTGTGGTGAAGTATTAAAAAGATTGAACAAATCATTGAAAATGCATTGTGATTTTGTCTATTTGGTGTTTCCAGATTTAAAATTGCTTCCTTGAGAAAGCAAAACTATAAACCAAGTCAAAATTGTAAGAAACTGTAAAATAAGTGTTGGTGCTGGCGTTTTGGTTCAGTGGTAGAGCACTGCACGTGTGAGGTACTGGGTTGGTTTTTCAGCACCACATATAAATAAACTAATAAAATAAAGGTCCATCAACAACTAAAAGCTAAAAATAAAAAAGTAAGTGTCAAGAACTATTTACATCTCTGGATTTTGTGATGAAATATTGAAAGTTTGAGCATTTCTTTTAAAAAGACTTGCAAAAAGGAATATTATTTATTAATTATTGGAATGGAAATGGCACCAAAACAAAAACATTTGTTCTCTTGACCATCTCTTACCGTAAAATATTTAACATTTTAAAAATATCATACAAARAAACACGGTAATTCTTCAGGCACAATAAAATCTAGACATTTGGAGAACAGCTAGCATACTCTGAAGACTGTGGAATGTGGCTACCCCTGGCTACCTTACCCTGCCCTCCAGGGTACTTTGGACGCCTCCCCATTTTGTCTGCTGTCTGCGGARGCATCTAGAGTTTCGGAGAGAGGAAGGATGCTGTCTTTTTGCCGCCTGGAGCCAACCGGTGTGGCTACCCTTTACTCTTCCCAATAAAGAAAGCACCGACCCCATGCTCCTCCCCACCCCCAACCCCGCCACGCCACAACAGGTTGCAATGTAGGGACAAGGACCCTCGAATGGGACACAAAACCCCAAACACAACTACAGGGGATCGTAGGTTCGACTTGGGAGAGGGAGGAAAGAAAAAGGAGAGAATTCAGTCCTTCAGACCCAAAAGGCAGGATTTATTTCTCCAGACTAAGGGGCGTAGCTGAATTTTTGGCAGCAATGAAACTACCATCTCTTCAAGGATCCTGAAGTGGTGGATCAGAGAACCCGGATAGGGTTCGGAGTCATAGAATCTGGGCCCTTCTGGGTTCTGGGGATGCCAAGGGCTGGCATCAACACCCCAGTTTCCCTGAAAGAGACGGAGCAAAGGGGAGCACTCCCAGTCCATTAACCGTGGAGTAGTAGTGAAGGGGACATCTAGTGCTCGAGAGTGGGGATCCTAGAGACAGACAGCGGTCAGGGGTGGGCCTAGAGCGCTTTGGGGCGCAAGCCTGTGAGCCGTGCGCAGGCTTTGCCTTCTTCCCAGGCTCTTGGGAAGAGTCGGGAAGTTCTGGCGCGAAACCACAAGCCCCGCCCGAGGGTGCTCGGGCGCGGCCCCCTGCCTAGCTGCCACTCCCTTCTAGGATCCCTTCCTTGATTGCGCCCCTGCCCAACGCCTCCAATCATTACTCAGAATGGGGCGCTTTAAATATGCAAAGGCACGTTGCGTTGTACAAAGCGGGATCTGGGATCAGTCGGTAGGGAGGGAGCCATTATCTATATAAACGTGTTGAGGATAATCTGAGTAAGGGTTAAACTAGTAGAGAGAGGAGTTGGGGCCAGGGTCTGCAGCCCTGGTTGACAACCCCGGTGAGTTGCTTTGCCCTCCCTCGCTGCTTCCATTCTGGGAGTGTTGATCCGGGGAGGAGGTGGGAGTGTCCTGCGGGGGCCTGGAGTGAGCATTCCCAAGGCAGCCTGCACCCCCAAAAGGGACTGGTGTTTTGAACTGGAAGCTGGGAAAATATCTTAAGTGCGCCAGCCAAAGGAGGAGTACTTGTTCCTCTAGGGCGCACSGTCACTGCGGCTTTTCACTGCCAATTTGTTTTTAGAGCGGGACTCTCGTCTGAGGTTTACTAATCTCGGTCTTGGCCCCCAAGCCTCTGGCCCTTTCRGGACAGAACAGGTGAGCTCTGCACTCCGCTCGCGTCCCAATTCTTGTGCTCCTGTTCACGCTGCGGCCTAGTCCCCGCAGCCTCGTCATGTTTCCCTGGGGGCTGAGCTGCCTGTCGGTGCTTGGGGCGGCCGGGACCGCTCTCCTGTGCGCCGGCCTGCTGCTATGCCTGGCCCAGTACCTCTGGACCCTCCGCTGGAAGTTGAGCCGGGACCGGACCTCTGCCCTGCCTCTGCCCAAGGGTTCCATGGGCTGGCCCTTCTTCGGCGAAACGCTACATTGGTTGGTTCAGGTGAGCAATTTATCGTTCCCTGCAACCTCATATGGCTCCCTTTCCGCAGCTCCCACTGGACCCTCCTCATTGTCAATGCTCCCAGGGTTCTTAGTACCTTCCCTTCGCCCAGGACCCCAGGGAGAGCTTACAACCCTCGCTTATGCTAGCTTCTCTGCTTCCTAGAAAGACCGTAACACCAGAGTTCTCCCCAGAGCAGCTTAAACAATACTGGGCTTAGGAGGGGCTTGAAGAGCGAGTATAGATTCAAGTATAGAATTAGAGTCAGGGGGCGTATCTCAGTCATGAGACCTTGGGCGCTCACGTCCCCATTCTGAGCCTCTATTTCTTTACCTTACCAGTGGAAACAAGAGCATCTGTATTCCCATCGGGTATTTGCGGGGTCTGTTTGGAGCCCTGTTTTGTTAAATACAACGGGCCGGGATGGGGCAAGGTGTTATCAGTTGGGAGGCCTAGGCCAGAGGCCTCAACCTGGCCCAGAGGCCCTAGCCCTCCAAGTTCCCCTCGCTCACAGGGCTCGAGTTTCCACAGTTCCCGCCGGGAGCGCTACGGCACAGTGTTCAAGACCCACCTGCTGGGCAGGCCAGTGATCCGTGTGAGCGGTGCGGAGAACGTGCGCACCATCCTGCTGGGTGAGCACCGCCTGGTGCGCAGCCAGTGGCCGAAGAGCGCGCACATCCTTCTAGGCTCCCACACACTTCTCAGTGCGGTTGGTGAGCCTCACAGGCGGCGGCGCAAGGTGAGTGGAAACTAGGGGCAACATCAGAACTGCGATCGTCAGGCACCTGCTGAGGGCCAGGTAGGAGCCAGGTATAAGGGTATACCGAGAACCTGACCGAGATCCCTGGTTAAGAGCAGGTGGGCCAGGCTCTTACATTCTCCAGTTTTTGAATGATAAAGTGACTGTTATACAGAAACGCTGGAGATCAAACCTAGAGGACTTCAAGGATGGTTTCTAGAAAAGCGTGGATATATGGGAGGGACTGTATGTAACAGCAGATCTAGAGGGAATGATGAGAGCAAACCCAGCAAGTTTAGGTTTGGGGTGCTTCGAAGAGGGGGAAAGGATCAGACTTAGTCTTCTGGCTACTAGAGAATTGCGCAGCAGAGTAGGTCCCCTCTCCCGCCAGCGCTGATTGGGCGCTCTCACCACAGGTGCTGGCACGTGTGTTCAGCCGCACCGCACTGGAGCACTACGTGCCGCGCCTGCAGGAGGCGCTGCGGCGTGAGGTGCGCTCCTGGTGTTCTGCCCGCGGACCCGTAGCTGTCTACCAGGCTGCCAAGGCGCTCACCTTCCGCTTGGCTGCGCGCATCCTGCTGGGTCTGCGGCTGGACGAGGTGCGGTGTGCCGAGCTGGCCCGGACCTTTGAGCAGCTGGTGGAAAACCTCTTCTCACTGCCCCTGGACGTGCCTTTCAGCGGTCTGCGCAAGGTACTGGAGCCCCGGCCCCAGACCTTCTTCCTTTTGGGTTCCACGGCACGGGTGGGTATCCCTGAGACTTAGTGCACCACGACAATACATCTGCTGGGAGGCTGAGGTGCCGCCCAGCATGGGGACGCGGCTTGCTGTGGTGGTGGTCTCCTGGGCTACTTCTGTTCTGACTGGATGTGGAATCCGGGGCGGACCACACACCCTTTCAGAGTCTTGCCTGACGCGTTGGGCTCCAGCCAATGCAACCGCTGGCTTCCTCAGTTTGGGTCTCAGTGGCGGGTGTCCAGCCAATCAGTCCGTGCCCTCCGCAGAGCWGAGCGGCGGCTTCTGCCTGGGCCTCCAGTGCCTCTTCGGAAGCCTGGATGGCTGCGGAACTGGTGGGAACCGGAGGGCAGCAGGCACACCCCAGCCCACCCCAGCACCTGCCCTGGGCGAAGGCGGATGGGAGCTAGCCCCCAATACTGCTGCCTTGGGCCGCTAATTTCCAGATCAGAGTGACAGGCGGGGCTCCGAGAGCACCGAGAAAGCCCTATTTTAGCCTTCCCTTTCCTCTGCATGGAGCTTTTCAGTTTGCAGAGTCTCTGGTTTTCAGTCACCTGAATAAAAATAACAGATTTGTATAAAGGGTCATGTGCGCTGTTCGCTTTGGATACATTTTCTCACTTAATCCTTGCAGACTGCTAAGCAATATTATTCTTATTTTATTGAAGAAGCGGGCTCATTGGGGTTAAATGCCTTAACCAAGATCGCACGGCTAATACCGGCACCGGCAGGATTTGAATCTATACTTCTGGTTAAGAAGTGCTCAATTTCAAGGCTTCCCCAGGGGGATTTTTATTTTATTTAGATGGTCCTGGGGATTGAATTCAGGGCCTCACAGATGCTAGGAAAGCTCAGTATTGCTGAGCTACAGCGCCAGCCCCAGGGAGTTATGTTTTAGTTGTGCTTGCTCCCTGAAACTCTGAAGGGGCATCCCAGCCCTCTTCCCCAGCCCCTTACAGAGGCTAATACTTAGAACATATGATAGTGTCCCCTAAGAGCTTTCCTGGGTGCCCCTTCTTCTCAGCAGTGATGCCTACTGCCTCAGCCTGAGCCTAGTGAAGGAAAGGGCACTTGAATGATTGTACCCTGACTGTGTTGTGTTACTCTGAATCATCACTTGACCCCTCTGAGCCTCATTGTACTGCCTTCAGGATGACAGTCTTGCTCAGAGGGACTTATGATAATCAAGATATAATGAATGCAGACAATGGACAGATTTATGGTCATTTATTGAATTCTAATATGTGCCAAGCATGGAGGGAACTAAGCTGAGAGATCTAACACCAGGATCTAGGCAAAGTATGTGAAACCAAATAAGTTTTAGAGGCAGGCAGCTAAATATAGTCCCTGAGTCTTCCTGCCACATCTGCCTTCTCTCCCTGTGCATCAGGGCATCCAGGCCAGAGACCAGTTGCACAAGTACCTGGAGGAGGCCATTGCTGAGAAGCTTCATGAAGATACAGAAGCAGAGCCAAGAGATGCCCTCAACCTGATCATTCACAGTGCTAGGGAGTTGGGTCATGAGCTGTCAATGCAGGAGCTGAAGGTAGGTGGCAGGAGGTTTTTCCTTCCTCTCTTTGTTCCCAGCAAGTGTCTACACACACTAGCGCCATTTTGAGGCACAGGCACATATTAGGATGAAAGGAAAGAGGAAACTGGGTTCCTGCCATGAATCAGCCACACCCACTAGCTGCATAGCCCTGCGCTGGTACCCACCTTCCAGGAGCACTGAAAGGRTGAATCTTAAGCCTGTCCTCATAAGTTCTGGCCCCAAACAGCTCTGGACTTAACCCCTCCACTTGYCCCCCCCTCACCCCATGTCATTGTCTCTGCTGTCCCCTGCCTATGAAGTCCCCTTCACTCTTTTTCTATAAATTCTAAGGGGCTCAGCATCTTAGCATCATATAAAAATAAATAAAATAAAGGTACTGTGTCCGTTAAAAACTAAAAAAAAAAAAAAAATTTAAAAAAATCCTCAAAACTCCCATCTTCCTCCCCAAATCAACATTCTCATTTTATGAACCATCTTGGCACCTGGCACCTTTAACTGCCTGTTTTGCTTCTGCAGGTTCTCCTGGAGAATTAGGACCACTCTCCACCTACATGTAGATGCAGTGGAGAAAAGGAGGGAGCTTGGAATGGCCCAGGATCTATTTGAGAACCCAGAAAGAAGTGCACTATGGGGGCTAGGAGAAAGTGAGAAATGGAAGGACCTCAATCTTCCATAAGCAATTTCCATCCTTTCTCTGACTTGTTTCCCACTTTCTACCAGCCAGCCACTGAATGTGGGGCTCAGCTTTAGTTTCTTCTCTGACAATGGAACAAATAATCTCCATCCTGACTCCTGGATGGTTGAGGTCCAGAAGCATCAAAATGGTTATAAAAGAATAAGCAATCAACTCATGGGTCCTGGGGGTGACCAATGGATAAGATCATTTCTGGGCAGTAAAGGGAAGTGGAATAGAATGAAGTAGATGATCCCTATGTCTTGACAGGACTGGAAAGGGATGACAACACCCTCAGGAAGGTGCTCACTGGCCAGGAATCTTCAGTTCTGGCCTGGGCATCACAAAGGGAGACCAGACTGGCCAGGGAGGATGTTGGGGCCCTGGGCTCCTCCATCCCAGATGTCCATCTTGTCCAAGATAGGACCAGCAGTTAGCCTTCAAACAGGTCAATATTCATTCCACAGATATTATGTACTTATTCACTGCCAAGCTCTGTGCTGAAATGGGAGGTGCAGTGGTGAGCAAAACAGCCTCCCATTCCCCAGGTATGGGAAGGGAGAATTCTCGTCCACCCTATAAACACAAACACTGATGCTGCCTGGAAGGAAGACACTTGACAGAGAGAGGGTGGAGGCTTGAAATCTGAAGGCTATCCCTTCTTGAGCAGAGCAGACCAGTAAGAGATATAGTGACCGATAAGAAGATGAAGGGTTGATGCAGGCTTTGGTGGGAGGCTGCTGAAGATGCCTTTGTTTCACTGTAGTTGCTATCAGAAGGCTCAGTGGGAGTTGGAGGCAGCACCACCAAGAGGTCCAGAGCATTTAGAATCCTAAGCCTTACTGCTAAAACTCCTAGTTGTAGGGACCTTGAGCACGTCTCAGCCCTCAGTTTCCAATCCTGTAAAAGGATGGCAATAATTGTGCCTCACAGAATTAGGAGGAGAATCCAATGGGTTAATAAAAAAACACTAAGGGTAATGCACTGAGTAAGTTTCCAGCATTGCCTCTGGGAACTCTTTCAACAAGAAAGGTAAGTAGATCCTTGTTTGCCTGATGCTCTATACGACTTTCCCAAGTGGCAGACTTGGAAGTTAATGGATTTCAGGACCTTCGCACAGCACACAGCCATCACGGTAGCACATCCCAGCTCGCCCGCCTTAGTGCAATAGTTTAAGGTTTTCTGCGCCTCCGCCGTGTGGCGGTGAATCAGAGACAACGGGGCTGTCTTGCAGGAGTCCGTTGTGGAGCTCCTCTTCGCCGCCTTCTTCACTACGGCCAGTGCCAGCACGTCCCTCGTTCTGCTGCTACTGCAAAATCCGGCGGCCATCGCCAAGATCCAGCAGGAGTTGGCGGTCCAAGGGCTGGAACGCGCGTGCAGTTGCACGCCTGGGGCCTCCGGGCCAGGGCCAGACTGTGGTTGTGAGCCTGACCTCAGCCTCGCGGTGCTGGGCCGTCTGCGCTACGTAGACTGCGTAGTCAAGGAGGTGCTGCGCCTCCTGCCGCCGGTGTCCGGGGGCTACCGCACAGTGTTGCGCACCTTTGAGCTGGACGTAAGTGCGCCTTGCCCGCCAAGCTTCCAGCCTCCTTCACCTGCTGCAGTGAGGGGGTGGAAAGAGGGCTGGGGATTAGGGCCGCAGGTCTCCTAGCCCAGACCTCAACTTTCCCGTCTGTAAAACGGGGTGAGCCCTCTTCCATTTACCAGGGTCCTCGGCACAGGGATGCAAAGCTTGGCTCCTGGTAAACCGGGAAATGTTAGGAATTTCGTTTAAACCTTTTGTCAGCGGTCTGAGTAGGTCAGCTCAATAATAATCAAGTTTTAGAACTAAATTTGCTTTCCTCTGCCCACCATCCCCCTCCCATTCAGCAAAGGTGAGTGGGAAGCAAAGACTGTAGTATGTATCTCACCTCTGGCTCCCTCACAAGATCAAAGAATCCATCATTATTACCTGACCAGGGCTCCAGCTAAGGTTGGATGCCAGTGAAGTGCAGCAATTCTACATGGTAGAATTTCTTAATGTCTGCCGACTGCCCTGGGATGGGCAAGGTTAAGGTCTAGACCTGACTCCTCTTTGAATGCAGTGGGCATTTCTCTCTTCACTCCGGGCCTCAGTTTGTTCCCTGGAAGGAAACTGTCTTGGTCCTCCAACTCTGATTCTCCAGGTGGGTTCAGGGTTGTGTAGCCAAGTGGCAGCATTGGGATTGGCCCATTCCGACTGCTAAATCGAGGACTAAAAAGCCGTCTCTGGAGCACCATGCTCAATAACTGGGCAACTCCAAACAAAGAATGGGCACTTCCTTCCACAGTGAGCATCCATGACCCATTGCTGCCAGGGTGCAGGGGGAGGGCATTGAGTATCATGGAGACAATGAGGGGACCAGCACTGATAGCTTCATCATAAATGGTGGAAAAAAAGAAGTGATTTCCAATGCTGGGTGCAATCAAAACATTTTGGGATCTGACATTTGAACTGAAGTCATGAATGTGGTAGAATGAGAGTACACCACAGAGAAGGAACAGCCCAGACAGACAAAGGTGGGTGTTTAGAAGTGTCTTGGATGCTGAATCTTGGAAATCACAGTTTACTCTGCAGATGCTGGTATGCCCTGGAAGACCTTAGGGGAACAGGAAGAGGAACAGAAGATCAGGGAGGGTTCCCACAGAGGGTGAGCAGAGAGTCTTAACCATCCTCCAGTGTACAGATGGGGTATACTAGAGAGGAGAGCCAGCAATTCCAAGATGAATCTTAGTGACTCCAAGATGTCCTATTACCCTAGTGAGGCTGTGGGGTGGGGGTTGGCAAACAGGCTTCAGAAAGCTGCAATCTCTTGAATTAAGGGCAGCAGGATGATCRAGGGATTGGAAAATACACCAAAAAAGCAAAATGGTTAGCAAGGTTAGAGATGGGCAAAAATTACAGGAAGGCTGTCTTCAGTATCTCCTGTGCTACTTCCTAAAKTGTGTCTACCAGATCTGAAGTATTGTCCAAACAGTGAGTGGTTAAGGCCGGAAGTTTTCAGTTAAATGAAAAGAGTAGTTTTATAATTAAACAGACCTGTAAGAATGGGGGTCCCTGCCCTTTGTGTTGGGGTTTCAGGCAGCTGGTAGGTGCAGAATGGAATATAAGTCTTCTGATCTAATGTCAGAAGAAAAAAAAAAGACAAAACAAGGGAATATAAACGATAGATTTACTATATAATAACACATATTTACTGAACACTAGTATGTGTCAGACCCCTTTTCGAATCTTTACAACGAAATGGGCATTCCAGTTCTCATTTTATCAAGTAAGAAACTGAGGCGCAGATTGAATGTCTAGCCCAAGATCATACAGCTCCCTAATGAAAGAGCTGAGGCTGGAAGGAAGATCATTCTGGTGCCCTGAATGATGCCTTCCTGCCGGGTTTCACATGCCGGTATAGCGTGGTGCATGGGGGTGGAGGGTCTTTTCGGGCCCTGTTTCCAGGTGTTTTGTGGTCAGGTTGTGCGCCTCGCCTCCTTACAGGGCTACCAGATCCCCAAAGGCTGGAGCGTGATGTACAGTATCCGGGATACGCACGAGACGGCAGCTGTGTACCGCAGCCCGCCGGAAGGCTTCGACCCGGAGCGCTTTAGCGCAGCGCGTGAAGATGCTCCGGGCACCTCTAGCCGCTTTCATTACATCCCTTTCGGTGGCGGAGCGCGCAGCTGTCTTGGCCAGGAGCTGGCACAGGCAGTATTGCAGCTACTAGCTGTGGAACTGGTGCGCACAGCTCGCTGGGAACTGGCCACGTCTGCCTTCCCTGCCATGCAGACGGTGCCCATCGTGCACCCGGTGGACGGGCTTCGGCTCTTCTTCCATCCGCTCGCGCCTCCGGCCCCAGGGAATGAGCTACACCTCTGAGCGGTGGCGCTGCGAGACTTGGCTTGCCCAGTGGCTGCTGCCCCCTACATCCCGCGCGCATTCACCCGGTCACTAACTAGTTCAACAAACCTTCACCGAACGTGGCTCGGTGCTGGACTTTAGGGAGTAAGAAGTCATGCCACAGTCATCGCGTCAAAGCGCCGTAGAGAGTACGTGGATCGCCGGCCCGAAGCGGGGGTTGCACAGAGACCAKGCGCACGTGGTGGGAACTACAATACTTTCGAGAAAGCCAAATCGCCGGGGGCCATTCCTGAATTAATTTGGGGCCTTGCTTGGGAGCCCAACAGAAGGTAGCGGGCCTCCGGTTTCATGCGACTTGGTCTTTCTGCCCGTCTAATCTCGCGGAAACTCAGAACTGGGTGCGCTTCCAGGTCCCTGAACAGCTCAACATCACYGGATTCTGCTGGAGACTTATTAAAAGAAAAATTCCTACTTCAAGAACGCATTTAATCTTTCCAGGGTAGAATAGGCATACCGAGATGTCTCTAAAGATGGTTCATGGGAGATTGAGACATAATCCCCTCATGGGAGGCTGAGATATAATCAGAGAGGTTTGGGATATTTGTACCCAAAACAGGAAGGCCAAGAAATAAAATTTCCTGCCAGCGGTTGAGCAAGGAGGCTAGGGCTTAGCTGAGCTGCTGCTCCTTGGTGAGAAGGCACCAGGTGGAGGGTGGGGGAGGCACTTAAAGGACCTACCTGAAGGACCCACCCCGGAGCATATTCAGAAGGTGGACAGCACCAGTCCTTCACTAGACGGGCTTCCTTTCTGAGCCTAGTTCTGGAGATGGCTTTGAATGATCTCCCCCATAGCTAGCTGCAGAAATTTCCTGGTTTACTACTTCAATATCCTCTCTGTTACAGAGGATGGGCTAAGGAGGAAAGAACCAAAGACTCCCCAAGGAGCCAGCAATGGGTYTGTGGACTCCCCCACCAGTGCTTCCTCTACCCCATCACTTAACCCCACTGCTTCACCCTCTGAACTTAACCCCTTTGGCTTTTCATAGGAATCCCTAGCCCACTTCAACCTGCTACCCATCTTCCTACAGGCCTGGGCAGCTGAACATGACTGGTGAGCTGGGGAAGTTGCCTCTCAGGCCAGAGCTGACCCCTTAATGAACCAGAAGGAAGCCAGTGCCCTCCTGACCTTATGCTTAAGGTGGATCCTAGGGCCTGAAGGAAAGGGGGAACTCAGCAGGGGTGTGCAGGGTTGGCAGCTCCAAAGCATAGCCGGCTCTTCCAAGAGGGGCTGACACTGCCATAACCCCCATACAGCGCAATTCATCACCCATGGCTGGTCACAGGTCGGGCGCCAGACCCTGAGCTCAGCAGGCGCCAGAGGTAGCAAAGGTGGCAGGATGCAGGTCTGCCCTTAGGGTGCTCTTGGAAACACTTAGGACATCTGGGTCTGAGAAGCATATGTCTGGGTGAGGAGGCCAAAGGACCCCAGCTTCAGGATTGATTCTGATTTAGGGAGAGTGTAGAAATATGAGGCGTAGCCTCTCAGAAACCAGGATAGTCTATCAGTTCCCAGAAACTGGGTTTACCTGCGCTTGGGTTTGAACTAAGTAAGCCATAGGAGTGGCTCCAAATTTACTCTAATTTCTCATTGCTACATCATGTTAATAGTTTTAAGGAATAAGGTTCCCTGATTTAGTAGCTTTAAATTCTCTGGGAAGGAGCAGATGTGGTTATTGCCCTTCTGTTCTTGATATTGCTCATGGAAGGAGGCAGCCAATGAACTAGCAAAACAAAACAAAACAAAACAAAAGAATCTGTCCAGTGGTGATAAGCCCTGTAAAGAATATAAAGAGAAGCATCTGTAATAGAGTGGTGGGCTGGGAAAGCTTTTCTGAGAAGGTGATATTCAACTTTGGAAGGAACCAGAGAGTGGCAGAAGGAACAGCAGGTATAGAACCCTGAGGATAAAAATGTTCAGGAGAGATGAAGAAGGGAGAAAAATGGAGGGGTGCTTCAGCTGCCCTAGTTCATCTGACTTATCTACCTCTGGATCCTCCCTTTCCCTTCAGTAAAGAAATAAATCAAAACAAAAAAAAAGGTTTCTCACCTCCACCTCTTAGCAATGAAATGTTTTGTAAACATTTTGGAAACAGTCTGTTTCCAGCCAGCCAAACCCCCCTCCCCGCCCCCCACCACTCAAAAAAACGTGGCGAGGCTCCTAGATCAAAGTTCTTTGGGGGCTGGTAATTTATTGACCCCCTCTCCCCCTTCAAGATGTTCTTTAATGATGATCTTTCACTCTCATATGTAATTTTTTTTTTCCTGGCAACAGATACCCCCGCGCGGGTCTCGATGAGCAGGCAGGTTTTTCCGTTTTCTTTCTTCTTCTTCTTCTTCTTCTTCTTTTTTTTTTTTTTTTGGTCTGTGGCAACTTCCAGCGCGCAGGCCTCGCTCATCCTGTGACCCGACGCGAGCTGAACTTGGCTAGGTGGCCCCGCAGAGTTCACTCGGATGTCACGGTCCGGCCTGCAGGGGTCACAGGCGGGTCAGGCCCGAGGATTGGGAATGGGCCCCAGGTCACGCTCCCGCTCCCGATCGTCAGTTTTGCACACCAGCCGGAGGCGCTCTACAAAGGGGAGGGTTGGGGATTTCTGAGAATTACCTCTAGCGCGTTTCTCCCCGGTTCCTGCTAGTGCCCAGAAGTTGACTAAAAGAAATGACAGTAAGAGACCGCCTTGCCCAGAGATTCTGAATCACTAACTCCTCCAAACACGCCCTGTGGCGACCCTGGCTTGGAGGTTTGCTGGACTGTGCGGGTCGCTATGACCTCCGCATACATTTCCTGACCCTCCGAGTTTGGGGACTACCGCGAGTYCCCATTAGTGCCACGTATTTAAGCTCTCAGGATTAAAATTTTCCGTCTCCAAGGGACGCTTTCCAAGGCGTGCGAGAGTGCTTCTGTGAGAGCCAGTGCTTCTAAACAAACGTACGTCATTCTGTTTCATTTTCGGGSCGCTGGTACGTTCAGCTCGCAAACCCAGGCAGCGAGTGGCTCTGACTGGTCGGAAGCGGTGTGGCTCGGCCAGGTGGGAAACAGTGAATGCTCTTGCGCACCCGGTAGTGCCAGAGCTCAGCTACTGGCTGCAGAAGCGGCTTATTGGAGTTGGGCAGAGTCCAGAGGACCCGCTCCCGGGTATACATTCCCTCAACCTTCCCATTAGCTGCCGGCAGACATCTGGGTTTAGGGCCAAAATGCCCTCTCGCCAGAGTGAAGACAGTAGCCTTACACAGRTTGGGAAGTGGGGGAGCGGAGGAAGGCTCTAAGCGCCCAACGTCCCGGCCACCCTGGTAATGCAGCTTAGCGTCCCTGAAGCTAGGAAGAGTCTTTACATCCAGAAGCTCGGTTTGGGAATTCACAGCTGCCCTGAGTTGTAGACAGACTGGGAACGGTCACGTCCATCCTAAGGAGGAGCAAACAGGCACAGGAATGTGTAATGACTTGTCCAAGGTCAGGCAAGTAGAGTTGGAGCCAGACTCCTGGGCTTTCCTTTGCTCTGTCTGGGTCTCCTTACCCTGCTATGACCAAGGACTTCTTCCCCGCTGCCCAGGTAGAACTGCAAGACCCAGGGTGTTCGGGAACCSGCGGCGTGACCGGATCACACAGCCTGGCGTTGATTGTGGAGCGGTGGATGAATTGCCCCTGGGGTCCGCCTCTGGAGAGTCAAAATAAGGGATCAGGCTGTACAGGTTTGCATCCAGATTCCTGAGGGACCTGGATGCTTACTTGTACCCTTCCGGAGGACTTTCCAAGACTTTATGAGTACTCCCTTGTGACACGGGAGCTAGGATCCAGGACCCGCAGGTCATATTTGACTCGCAGTGGTTCTCGCTTGTGTCTTGGTCCTGGGTTCTTCTCTGGAATCCTCGAAAGTSGGAAAACCTGCATACTGGACCTAAGTTACCACACCTGTGGGAGGAGTTCACTGAATAAAGATTGCTGAGCACGCTTCCCTTTGCTTCTTGAGCAGGTGGACAGGAACCCACGCGACACTTGTATATGGAAAGCCCGTCCCACATGACACTTGTACATGGAAAGCCCGTGGAGGCGGCTTTGGGCTGGGGCGACGCTTGGATCAGGCAGGAGGGATTTCAGGGGCCTCCTGAAAGAGCCAGGATAGGAATTCTAGCTCCTGGGAACCCGAGTCCGCCCCCACACCCTGCTGTCTGGGAGCTCCGCACACCTTGGATGGGGGAGGCGGCGCTCCTAGCCTAGCACCCCAGGAGGCGCGCTCCGAGGGTAGCAGCTACCGCTCCGCCTCTGCTTCGGCGCGGAACAAACGGTTAAAGATTTTGGGCTGCGCCTCGCGGGGGGAGGAGCCAGGGGCCCAATCCGCAATTAAAGATGAACTTTGAGTGAACTAATTTGTGTCTAACCAAGGTAACGTGAGCAGTAACCTGGACCGCCTATAAAGCGGGCGCGCGGCGGGGCTGGAGAGCTGGTGGCGGCGGCAGGTGGCGCGGGAGACCGTAGCGTGCCATGGGGCTCCCCGCGCTGCTGGCCAGTGCGCTCTGCACCTTCGTGCTACCACTGCTGCTCTTTTTGGCTGCGATCAAGCTCTGGGACTTGTACTGCGTGAGCAGCCGCGACAGCAGCTGCTCTCTTCCCTTACCCCCCGGGACTATGGGCTTCCCATTCTTTGGGGAAACGTTGCAGATGGTGCTGCAGGTAAGGAAGCTTGGGGCGGGACGCTTTCCCGGAGCTCGGCTCAGCTCTGGATCTCAGCTGAAGCCAGGTTAGGCGTACGGGTGAAGGAAACGACTGCAGCTAGGAACCGAGCTAGCGGGAGGCGCGAAGCTCCCAGGCGCCCCCTYATGCCCACGTCTCTCTACGGTCTTCTCACAGCGGAGGAAGTTTCTGCAGATGAAGCGCAGGAAATACGGCTTCATTTACAAGACACATCTATTTGGGCGGCCCACGGTTCGTGTGATGGGCGCGGACAACGTGCGGCGCATCTTGCTCGGAGAGCATCGGCTGGTGTCGGTCCACTGGCCCGCGTCTGTGCGCACCATCTTGGGCTCTGGCTGTCTCTCCAACCTGCACGATTCCTCGCACAAGCAGCGCAAGAAGGTGAGGGCGGGGTGGTGACTCCTGGGCAAGGAGCGGGACTCCTTTTCTGGAGAGGTTCAGGCAGATAAATGCAAGGCAAGTGCTAGCAGAGGTGGGACTTGGACTTCTCCGAGCTCTCGTTTAGCTTTCTCAGCCGGAATGTACGTAGAGTCTGGAGGAGCTGAGGTTGTATGGCCCGGGACCCAGGAAGGTGAGATGGAGCTGATAGAGGATTTTAACGATCTTGGCTTCTCGGGCCCCAGGTGATTATGCAGGCTTTCAGCCGCGAGGCACTCCAGTGCTACGTGCCAGTGATCATTGAAGAAGTGGGCAGTTGCCTGGAACGATGGCTGAGCTGCGGCGAGCGCGGCCTTCTGGTCTACCCCGAGGTGAAGCGCCTCATGTTCCGCATCGCCATGCGCATCCTGCTGGGCTGTGAGCCCCCGCGGGCTGGCAGCGGAGAGGCAGAGCAGCAGCTAATCGAAGCCTTTGAGGAGATGACCCGCAATCTCTTCTCGCTACCCATCGACGTGCCTTTCAGCGGGTTGTACCGGGTAAGGGCGGCAGGCGGGGTGCGAAGTTTGGGGCGCAGGAGCCGGGCGTCTGCTCACCGCCTCACTCTCTCTCTCTGCTCAGGGCATGAAGGCGCGGAACCTCATTCATGCGCGCATCGAGGAGAACATTAGAGCCAAGATCTGCCGGCTGCGGGCTGGGGAAGCAGACAGGAGCWGTAAAGACGCGCTGCAGCTGTTGATTGAGCACTCCTGGGAAAGGGGAGAGCGGCTGGACATGCAGGTGAGTGATAGCTTCAAAGCGGGGGAAGTGGACTTGGGTCCCCAGCTTTTCAACCCGCAGTGCTTGGGGGGCCCTCAAAGCTTCTCAGAGTGGGCACTCTGCCCAGACTCCAGCAATAACATCCCGAAGGGTTGATACTAGGTCAGTAGAGCCGCTAAAGAGGCTGCCGCCGAACTCTAAGAGCGTCCCCTGGTCTTTCCAAATTTCAAAGGGAAAAATCGGAATCTGCAAATGTTAATAAAGAAACTTGGGCATTTTTAATAACTCAGGAGGTCCAGGTACAAGTAGCTAATCTAAAGAGACTGCATTCTCTTTAAAGACGTTTGGTCTCTTGACTTTCTATCAACAAAACTTTTTGCGTTTCTAGTCTTCCCAGAACCCTCAGTTGGATTCTGAGTAATCACTGTGAACCTGCATGGAAACTTGTAAAAATATCGGTCTTACTCGATTCTTAGGCACTAAAGCAATCTTCAACTGAACTACTCTTTGGAGGACATGAAACCACGGCCAGTGCGGCTACATCTCTGATCACTTACCTGGGACTGTATCCTCATGTTCTCCAGAAAGTTAGAGAGGAGCTGAAGAGTAAGGTGAGAGGATTCTAGGAGTTCTGTATTAGCTTAGGAATTTCAGTTGCTTCCTTACCAACTTCTCTCCTGTTTAGGTCTGCTGAGTATTTCACTGAATATTTTGAAAGTGCCTGGCCAAGGGCAGAGTGGGCCTGTTGGGGGAGAGAATCTTGAGCTGTGATCCTACTTGGGCAGGATTAGACCTTGTGTTCCTGCGTCTCCTCTACATTTTGCAGAAATGTGGAGATTTCCAGATAGTTTCCACTTTCTTAGATTTGGGTGTTCAAGGCATGAGTAGAATAGTGTGATAAGAGCAAGTAGCTGATGGGGCGGTGACAGGGGTGGGGAAGCTTGACCCTTCTTCATTGTGATCAGCATTTTGTTAGAATTGTAAATAGAGGATGGATTTGGGCAGAGAGTGGAGGTAAATGGCTCCTGGCTGCTGTTTCCCTCTATGCTCTGCCATCCTGAGGCCCTTTGGGTTCAGCCACCATCTAAGTCCTATTTGTGTCTTCTGGGCTGATTTTATTGGCGTGCAGGGCTTACTTTGCAAGAGCAATCAAGACAACAAGTTGGACATGGAAATTCTGGAACAACTTAAGTATATAGGGTGTGTTATTAAGGAGACCCTTCGACTGAATCCCCCAGTTCCAGGAGGATTTCGAGTTGCTCTGAAGACTTTTGAATTAAATGTAAGTTAAGAATTCTACCCGCATCCCACTCCTGCTCTGCCCCTTTTGTTGTTTTAAACCTATCCTTGCTTCCTTGAACATTGGCTTGAATTCTTTATGCTTTTGATAACATTGTCCTGTGCTGGAACCAATCCCTCTCTCTCCCAACCCTCTTTCTTTTAACTCATAACACCCCCAAGGAGATCCCTGGTAGTTTTTTGTTGGTGAAAGTTAAATTCCAGTTTGTCAGCCCTTGGGACTTCATAATCTTTTGCAGGGATACCAGATTCCCAAGGGCTGGAATGTTATCTACAGTATCTGTGATACTCATGATGTGGCTGATATCTTCACTAACAAGGAGGAATTTAATCCTGACCGCTTTATGCCGCCTCACCCAGAGGATGCATCTAGGTTCAGCTTCATTCCATTTGGAGGAGGCCTTAGGAGCTGTGTAGGCAAAGAATTTGCAAAAATTCTTCTCAAAATATTTACAGTGGAGCTGGCCAGGCATTGTGACTGGCGGCTTCTAAATGGACCTCCTACAATGAAAACCAGTCCCACTGTATATCCTGTGGATAATCTCCCTGCAAGATTCACTCATTTCCAGGGAGAAGTCTGATGGGCATGAATGCTCAAAATTTGGACTTATTTGAAGTGTACATATGAGTTTTTATATACTGTTATGTTGACTTATTATATTTAATTTCTAAATGATATTATAATATTTATATGTCTCTACTATAGCACCATGGTCTTTAAATATTAAAATAATGAATTTGTATAACTTCCAAATGAAATAAAATTTGAAAATATTTTTCTTGCATTGAACGAAATGGAAAAATCCACTGGTTTAATGTTTGGACTTAACGTTTGTGACCAGATTTCTAAATGTTTACCTGGGTTGATTTGTCATCTGTGCATGTTTATTTTTTGTAAGGAGGAAATCTTAGCTAATTGTTTTTCTCTCAATAGTTATTTGAAAATAAGTATTAGGTGTGTGTTGGCTCTAAGGTATCTTTGCAAATTCTTTAAAGGTAATTTAGATTCCCTGTTTGGAAAATCTATTAAGGTTAATTTAATTAATTAAAATTTTTTTCTTTGTGTTACTGTCTGGGGATTGAACCCAGGGTTTTGTGCACACTAGACAAGTGCTATATTGCTGAGCTACATCCCCAGCCCAAAGTTAATTTTACTTTTTTGTTTTGTTTTTACGTTTTGTGGTGCTTGGGATTGAACCCAGGGCAATTTTAGTTTAGTTTTTTCTTTTTTTAACTTCATTTTAGGGAAAGATGATTCTGAAAAGGTCACACACTGATAATTATCATTCTACAATAACACCTTCATCATATCTAGCATTTAATAAACATAATAAATCCATATGCTTRAATAGAGCCAGAACTTTTCTCTGAAGTTAAGGTTGTAGATAAGACAAAGCTAGTGACTCCACTTATGGACAGTCCTTGACTAAAATGAGACCAAAATTCACTGGCATGTCACCTTTACTTAGAAGTTGCATTTGAAAACAGTTGGGGGGGGGGGGAGGCAAGTCTCTGGTTTAGATAAGCTGAGCCCAGGTTTTCTTTATTCAAAACGAGGCAGGAGGAGCAGATTTAGCAAACTGACAGATAAAGTTTTTATCTATCCCAGGCAATAGGGTGTGAGCCTGACATGACTGATAAAATGGCCCAGTCATGACCCTGTGAACCTTGGCTAACCTCCGTGAAAGCGCAGTTTTGTCACATTTCTGACCCTGGCATGGCCATGTTCTGAACTGAAGGCCAGACTCTCAATCCAGAAAGGTTAGTCCTGGTGACTTGCTTATGCAAGCACATTTTCCGTTTTGAAATGGCACAATCTGCTCACTGAACCTCTGATGGCTTGTAGGTTGGACTTTAAAATTTTCATTACAATTTTAGAATTTGGCAATGCTGAAGAAACCAGGTAGTCTACACAGGTATTTGAACAAAGTTCTGTTCATACAATTAGAATTTCATGTTCTACCTGACTTTAATATTTAGGTAGAGCTTGGATTGCACTCATTGTTGGAATCTTCTGATTTTTAGAATGTTTATACAATAACTTATAATGCTTTATAATAACCTTATAAAGCCATTTAAAAATGTGATAGACTTACATAGTTTCAGCCAAGATTTAGTGTTCTCTAATGTACAAAAATGCCTCCTTCTCTGCATAACATTTGCCCTAGATCTTTCCAGCCAGGAGCACATAGCCTGAGGGGCGTCATTATTTCAGATAATTTATGCAAGATTACTTAAAAAAAGATTTTAACTCTTAATTTTGCTGGAGGACAGTTAGCCTCTAACAACAATGTTTTTGGTGGCTTTGCGTCTCTGTTTCTCTATAAGCATAATATAATAAGAAATTTGAGACATTTTAGCATATAATTCAATGTTTAAAATCCACCTTATTTTTTATCTGGTGAGCTTTAAGGAAAGCTTTTGCTTTTCCCAGGGCTACCTTTAGCTCAATTATGCTTATCAGTTATAGAGTAGTATAGAATTACCTGAAAAAACTTGTTAAAAACCCAATTTTCAATGATGCTGAGTGCTCAGTGAAGGCACTTTAGTTTTGGGGTAAGTGTGGGGTAGACCGAACATTTGTAGGCTGCTATACTGGACATAAAATGAGCCTGGTTTGTTTATCTGCGGCAAATGTGCCTTATGGTCCGGGTGCCCCTAGGTCACTGTCCATGCGGTGGAGAAATGATGCAGACTTGGCCAGAAGTGTGGGAGGAGGGGAGATGGTATAGGAAATGATGCTGTGGGGCTCATTGTTGGAATCTTGCAGAGATGAAGGGGTGCTGTGTTTTCTGGGGCTGTGGGTATATCTGCTAAGCTGGTCAAGTTGGAACCCTCTGTCTCCTTCCGCCAATGTCCTTTGCCCTTATTGCCTCCCATGACCTCTTGTCTTCAGTCAGAGGTATGGCACCAATGAGCACTGTCAGGGCAAGGATGTGGAAGCCTAGAACTTTGGCATTCAGACAAATTGTGGCCTTTGCTTAGCACAACCCTTGGGGGGCCAAAGAGGGACTGATTTCCCTGGGAGTGGTGGAATCAGAAAAGACCTCCTGATACCCCTTTTTTCCCTTCTCTCTTTTTTTAAACAGCTAATTATACCTGCCTGATATTGTTCCAACTTTCTGTAGCCGGACGACTAGACCAAGAGTCTCCATCTCATAACTTTCTACATTTCTCCTGCTACCTTTCCCCTGTCCTGCCACAGTGCTGATCAGTTCTTTTGCAGGCCATCAGAGGCAACTGGTAAAATGGGAGCAGTAGAGGAAGTGGCTGCTCCCTCCGGATCCCTTATCTCCTGGGACCAGTTCCTGGCTTTTCGAACCTTGCCACCCCCAAGAGGTCCACAAGGGGGCGGGCTTCTCCCTTGTATGCCAAATTCAGGGACTGGTGGTTTTCCCACCAGTGTCCATGAAATCCAGTGTCCACGAAATCCAGTGTCCAAACACTCTGGCCCAAGAACACTTTGAGCACAGATAGATAGAGGCCTCAGGGCACCCACAGCTTAGCAACTCCTCCACAACAGGCCTGGCCCTTCTGGCGGTGGTTACCCCAACTGGGTTGAGCAGGACTGTCTTTCAATTTTGGAAGACAGTCTGTGATCTCTGAGGTTAGCCAGCCCACGGCCCCAGCATTGCCCACACACTACCCACAATCTGACCTGTGTCACTCTTACTCCACCTGGACAATCGCTCTCAGTTGTGAGGGAGCAGGGACCACAGTTTTTCCACAATATGGGCAACCCTAGTCGGTGTTCAGATGCCCTCACCCAAGTCCCTGAGCCATTCTCTGAAAGCACTGTGGGAGGAGCAAGGGGTGGTTAGAGAAGCTGTGGTGGCTCCTTCAAGCAGTTGGAGCTCTGCTGTAGTAAATACAGATTTAGGCCAGTTCTGATCAAGAGAGTATGTGCAGAGGAGGGTGAAATAGAAGAAGGGAGATGCTGGGCCATCTAAAAAGTTCACTAGAGCCCTTTAGTGATGAAACAGGCCACCTGCGAAGGAACAAGCATGCATCCAAGCAGAAGCTGGGTAACTAAGCCACCATAGGGATCCTAACAGGGAGGGTGAAGCTGGGGTAAATGACCCTCTCAAGCTTCTTCAACATTTTAACAGTGGTGAAGCTCTGAAAATTGATTCTGTATTAATCCAATTCCTCAGATACCTACTTTACTTTAAAATGTGGTTCAACTTCCATCTAGGGAGATAGGATAACCCCACATCCTCTTCCAGAACATTCAGCAGTCCTTAGTGATCATTCTCTCCAACCTCATGGCCAGATCTAGAGGTAGAACTGCAGGGAGGACTGACCTGTGACCTCAGAGACACTAAGTGCCATGTGACCTGTTGCTTCCAGCTGCGGTTCCTGTGCATGCTCTAATATATCCAAGGCCTCTCCCCGCTGTCCCAGGCTGACCATTCACAGGACCTCGCCTCGGGAACAGTACCCTGCTTTCCCCAGCCCTTCTCCTGTGCTGTGCACTGAGCTGGAGTCTGTCCTTTTCAGTTATCCCTTTTCTCACCTCCTGTAAAGCTACTCAAGGCCAGGAAGTGTGTCTCACCATTCTAATCTTAGAAACCTAGTCCACTCCCACTCCTCCCTGCCTTCCCCCAGAATATACTCACACATAGTAGGTGTTTTGGGGGGAGAGAAAGCTTCTTGGGGCCAATTGACACCATTTACTCTCTGTTTCTCCAACTTACATGGTGCCATGTTTTTCTTTGAAAAGTGAAACTTAGGACAATCTCAGCAGCCGCGAGCTTACASGGCTGTGGTTTAACAGCATGTCACATTCCTGAAACCGAGGCTCCATGCGTTTTTTGRCCAAACAAGCTTTCCTCCCTTTGAAGTAAAGTCAACTTGAGTTAGAACCCTGGGACGGGGTGGAGACCTAGCTCTGGCCAGCGGGGTGGGTTTTCTGGGTGAGAGTTATCATGTTGCAATATTTGTAACCACATCTCTTTAGTACAAAAGCTGCCCCACACTGTAAGCCTTCTGGTTGCTGCCAAACCCTCCTAGTTGACCAGGGGTTAGAAACGTATGTACAAAAATTTTTTTGGGGGGAGACAGAGGGTGTATCAAGGATTGAACTCAGGGGCACTCAACCACTTAGCCACATCCCCAGCCCTTTTTAGTATTTTATTTTGAGACAGGGTCTTGCTGTTGCTGAGGCTGGCTTTGATCTTGTGATCCTCCTGTCTCAGCCTCCGGAGCCACTGGGATTATAGGAGTGTGCCCTATGTACACATTTCTGATAGTAGATGCTTCAAGATTTTTATTTGCAGTCATTTTTATGTTCACTTAATTGTGAAAGGGGACAAGGTGTTTTGCTTGTAATCTGACAAAACAAACTCATTAAGAACAGCCAGATCAATTCATTGATTCCGTAAATACAGCCATACCATCCAACAGAGCAGTGACTTATTAAATGATAGATGAGGGCATTCAGTATTCTGAAATGGAAAGTTCATTTAATATCATCATTAGTCACAGATTACTTTAGAGCTGGAAGGAAAACAGTAGACAGATCATCCAAGCCCTCTAGGTCACCTTGGAGAAATCTGAAGTACAAAGAAAACTTAGGTTACCATGGAGAAGGGCCCAGTATGTTGTAGGACTTGGTCATCAATTTTTARAAATAGCTATATTGCTTATTTATATGAGTGTAGTGGGAAAAAAAAAAAAAACAGGTAGGTGAGCGGATCATTTGAGACCAAATTGTTTCCAGATTCTTGCTCTTCACTATATCTCTGAGAGAAGCTCTTGAAGGTTCTCT